CTTGCTTGCATCTGTTTCGACAACAAATGGCAATTTGAAATTTGGTAGAGCCAAGACAGGGGCTTGAGTAAGAGCTGATTTCAAATGTTGAAAAGCTTCATCTTCTTTGTTTGTCCAATAAAACATGGTATCTTTACGGAGCAAATCTGACAATACTCGACTGATGATCCCATAATGTTTTATGAACTTGCGGTAATAACCCGTTAACCCAAGAAACCCCCTAACTTGCTTGATAGTTGTCGGTGTAGGCCACTGAGCGACAGCTTGGATCTTCGAAGGGTCAGTAGCGACCCCTTTGTGACTGATGATGTGACCCAAGTACTCAAGTTGTTTTTGGGCAAAGGAACATTTACTCTTCTTAATATACAACTGGTGCTGGTGGAGAAGAGCAAACACTTGTTTCAAGTGACACACATGATCTTCAAGTGTATGACTATATATTAAGATATCATCCATGAAGACAAGAACACATTTTCGAATGAGGGAAACAAAAATTGTGTTCATTGCAGCTTGAAACGTTGCAGGGGCGTTTGTGAGACCAAAGGACATCACCTTGAATTCATACAACCCTTGGTGTGTTTTGAAAGCCGACTTGTGTTCTTCACCAAGCACTAGCCGAATTTGATGGTACCCAGATTTGAGATCCAGTTTGGTAAACCAATTTGCACCGGACAATTCATCAAGTAGCTCATCGATCACTGGCATTGGGTATTTATTCTTAACTGTAATATTATTGAGGTGCCTATAGTCAACACAAAAACGCCATGAACCATCCTTCTTCTTCACCAACAACACCGGAGATGCAAATGAGCTAGTGCTATTCTGTATAAGTCCCTTTTGGAGCATTTCACGCACTTGTCGCTCAATCTCAGTTTTCTGCATAGGAGCATAACGATATGGCTTGACATTAACAGGCTTCACCCCTGGAAGCAGTGGAATGTTATGGTCAAAACTGCGGTGAGGAGGCAACACCTGAGGATCTTCAAACACAGCCTCATGCTGAGAAAGAACTCGGGTAATGGCTGGTGGTAGAGGGGTGGATGAGCCAGGTGCCTCGAATACGTCTTGCACAGCACACAATTCTAACATATGCACCACACCTCCATTGTTAACCAAGCCCTGAAGCTGTTTAGCAGAAATAGCTGAGCAACTGGCAGGTTTATCTTTAATGCCTCGAAGAGTGATGCGAACTCCATTATGTGTGAACCGTAATGTCTTCTTTTTCCAATCTACCCACATTGGGCTCATCTCTTCAAGCCACTCCATACCAAGGATGATGTCATATGTGCCTAATGGAAGTGCCTTCAGCGAGGATGTAAATGATGTGCCTTGAGTCCACCACTGTAGAGATGACACCATCATGTTACAGTCAAGACTTCCTCCATCAGCAACTGTCACTTTGGCAGCAGGAAACGGAGCAGTGGTACACTGTAAACGGTCAACCAATTTGGAGCTTATGAAGTTACTGGAGCTTCCAGAATCTACCAGGATCAATACTTCTTGTTTGCCAATGAAACCCTGAAGCCGAATACTCTTCTTACACTGTGTCCCACATGCTGCATGGACAGATAGCTTCATGACATGGTCATCCTCATCCGGGTCAGGGGTGTGCTCTTCAGGCCATCCATTGTCATCTTCGTCATCAGAAATATCAAGAGAGGTAATCAGTTCTTCAAGGACATGCAACTGAACCTGCGGGGGGCACTTGTGGCCTGGGGAGAATTTTTCCCCGCACTTAAAGCATTCGCCACGAGCACGCCGTTGGGCCTTGAGAGAATCAAACTTAGTGTTGTACTTGATCCTGTCATCCGTCCGCTTCTCACCCGGGTTTCCTAGAATGCTTGGCAGCTGAGCATTCATCTTGAATTTGTGGCGATAATCCCCCTTCTTGAAGGACGGACGAGTATCTTCCACCAACAACACTTCCTGTGTTTGAGCAAGGGAACAAGCCAGATCAACAGTTCCAGGATTGTGTAATTTAATAGCAGACTTGATGTCTGGCTTAAGACCATCAATGAAACGGTTCACAAAGAAGGTTTCATCATAGGAGTGATTGTAAACCAGAATCTTATGCATGAACTCTTCAAATGTATGGGCATATTCATCTACTGATGCAACTTGCCGAAATGCAAAAAACATGTCCATGAGTTTAGCATACTGATTTTTGTTGAACTTAGCAAACACTCCTACACACAAGGCAGGCCAGCTATCCACTGAATGCATGGCTTCGAAAGTTTGCAACCACAGGGAAGCATTGCCGGTGAAATGCATAGTGGCAAAATCCACCCACAACTCAGGATTAACATGGTACATTTTAAAATACTTTTCGCATTGTTCCTTCCACCATTTGGGATTATCACCAGTGAATTTTGGGAAATCTGATTTGGGCAACCGCGGACCACTATGACTGTAGGGCTGATGCGGATATGCAGTGGTACGATCGTCATCTCTCTCTGCTGAACCATACATAGCAGAAGTAAGGTGGTCACGGGTTTGCGATTGCTCACCCCCGACCAGGGCGTGTCCGGAGGTTCGAATCTCTCCAGAAACAGCACCCTGGTGATGCAGTTCTTCACGGTGCCCATGGGGCCGAAGCACACCCGGTCGCTGATGCGGCTGCGCCGGGGTCGTGGAAGGAGGCTGCCCCCGCTCGAGGAAATCGACGCGGCGCGCCACCGCCTCCATCGACAACTTCAACTCGTCGGCTGTCTTGTCGAGCTTGTTGTGGGCCGTGATTATGCGGTCCAGCGTAGTCTCGACACGCTGGGTCGCCGTCGCCGTGGAGCTGGTGAGATCGGAGAGAGCCTTGGTGGTCGATTCAGAGAAGGAGTCGACCGTGGTGCGGAGCTCGTCGATCCGCTTGGAGTTGCGGACCCCCGCGTCGGAGACGGCCTTGCTCTGAATCACCGTCGCTTGGATCAATTTCTGCAGCTCAGAGATGGTCAGCTCTGCCGCCCCCATCCTGTCCGTCAACGTTGGGCGCGCAGATTTCCCCGTCGTGGCTGGGAAAAAAAATCGGTGGGAAATGATGCCGAAAGATCGGTGGCTCTGATTCCAATTGCTACGAACCCACAGAGATTAGTAGCAATCGCTTTGTGTCACACAAAGGATTCAGTCACAATAACACATAGTTCTGTAGATGAGAAGAGGGGAAAGCGGAGATACAGAGTAGCGGATAGGAAGAAGATAGACGGACAAAATATTCTTTTACCCTCCTTATCCCCTCAAGTTAGCCTTAGTTTTTGCTTAAGAGGGGCACGTCCGGTAGATGGGCCAAGCCGGTCACGCGAGCGCCGGTTACCTGCTGGGCTTGACCGAGTCAGCTTCTAGGAGAGGCCTTGGTCTTGGCTGGCCCACATGGCAGGTGCGTAGCATACACGAGCAGCAGCGCCGCGTTGGCAATGGCGAGGCTGCTCCGCTCCTGCCCGGCCATGTCCGAGCTCCGGCTCAACTTGAACATGACGCAATGGTACCGCGACGACGACGAGCCCGACACCAATGATCCGGCCAGAAGCCCCTTCGCCCAGTCCATGGACCGATTCAACAGGCTCGCATCCATGACCGCTTCCTCGCGTCGTGCCGTCAGCAAGGTCTCGGAGCTCCCCGCGGTCTTGACCGACGACGGCGTGTTCAGCTGCTTGCAGACGAGTCTGCGGAAGGTGACGCTGCAGTTCAATGCCAAGGAGGCGGACTGCGTCCAGGTCCAGCTCGCCAAGTTCCTGGTGGAGAACGCCATGGTTCTCGAGGAGATGCACGTCGACGATGGGAGCACGTACTGGCCGGAGCACCTCTGCAACAAGCTCGAAAGATGGAGAGCCGATTCGTTCCGCAGGAGGAAGCTGACGGACACGGCCGGCTTTCGGGTGCACCAGCTAGAATAGCGAACCCCGTGCAAGTTTCTTAGGAACAAGCAGGAAACCATGTAGTACTCCACATCTCAGAGTTGTGCGACCACACCACTAAACCTTTCTTACTTATACATGTAGTTACATCCGATGTACAGTAATACAATGGACGATCTCCTAGTTCAATGTACTGTATGTGAAACACCTCCTCACTCAGAGTTGAACAAAGCTTTGCGCATTCGAACGGACAAGTAATTATCTGAAAGCTTCATTAACAATTTAACAGTCATGCTTGGTCAGGTCTGTGCTGCTCCTAACCCTGAAAAAACAACCTCATCATTTATTTGAAAACAGGAGGATCACTACGAGGTGCAAAAAACAAATGTTACTAGCAAAACATGCAACAAGGTGGCTGATCAAAATATAAGCATATTAAAATGATTGCAGGACAAAATACATGTTTAAACCAAAAAATTTAAATTAAACTACTCTCTGGTCTGGTCACTCCAACATAACTCTCAAGTCCTAGTATCTCTCGCACACGAATAGTGCATGGAAGAACATCAAGACCAAACGAAAAAATAGTCAACCCAGTTAGAGCATTCATGGATGCAAAGTTACAATGGATTCCACCAAGAGGTAAACATGGTCTGGCATATAGCTTATATGGAGAGACCTCAGCCCTGACTGACTGTTGGACTATGATGCCGATGGAAATCAACAACTATCAGGGCTTACCTCTCATAAGGTACGTAGAGCTGAACACTGTACCAGTTACATTTTTTAAGGAAATAAGCTTGTTGGGAGTTACAACTCCTTTGCAATTTGCAAGAGGTGTCCGTAGTAGACAAGATTTTCCAAGCTAACTAAGTGGAAATACAATTGAAGGATCTGAAAGAGCTGTAATGCTTTGATATATGAAATCAATGAAATGCACAGCAGTACAGCACTAGTAACATCTTATGAGCAATATATCTACTTTTTAGATTATTACAATTGTTCTCATCTACATCATTTAATGAGCTCAAGTTAAACAAACAATATAACACGCGCACTAGGTATAGCAAGAGAACATAAGGAATTGGAGTTGGGAAGTCACATGATGCCCTTGCACTCACCACCTCACCTCCGGGTACTAGAATGCCAGTCAACTAGCTAAACTCCATTAGAACTTTGCTCCATGTTTAGTTGCATAGCATCCATCTTCTCAATTACATACTCCAGCTTTTTGCAACAAATCTCATTAGCGATTCTTGCACTATAGTCGCACTTCTCAAATGGACGATATTCACAAGCACTTTTTATTTCCTCGCGCAAAGTTGTTTGTATTTCCTGCTCGAACCACAATACAATGTATTTATCACACACGATTCATGATATACATAATGTGAGATTGTGTGTAATAAAAAGCAATGACGTGATTGTCATACGAATGTATGATTAACGAATGGGTTCACATATCTGGCTAGTACTCTGCTGGAAAGACTGTAACACTGTGTCTGAGTTAAAGGCTCAGAGAAGAATTTTAGATGACACCCGAAAGGCCTAAACCAATCGGTTGCCAACAAATCCTGATTTCATGACAATCAAATAAGCAGTGCAGACAGGCAGATAGCGTTACTACCCCAGAAAATTACTACAGGGCAGCGAATAGCATTCTTTCTGTCTGCACAGGTTCCAAGAAAAGATTAGTTGATCATCATCTCATCTCATCAATATGGAACCGTGCTTTGCTTGGAACTAAAAGTATTGCAGTTCAGAACAATGGCACTCAAGCCATCAGAATACAGCAAGTTCAAATCAAAAGCACAGCAAATTTCAGCTTGCACTATGTCTGTATGGGCATAATATATCACAAAGCATGTTATCCCATGATCAAGAAAATGGAAGAAAACTCCAAGCACGTAGGTAAGTATGTATTTTCCCCCTAATACCAGGCCATCTTGATGCTTCCAGCAAGCAATGAGCTAAAATGCTACAGCAAAACAAAATTCCAGGTTCAGAACCAGTGATTCTGCTGGCTCATTTCGAAATTGCACATCCAATTTCCGTCTGCCGCAGGTTACAGCTTCAAACATCCCTCACTGGCCCCTCTTCATCCAGCCATAAGCAAGGGCCAAATATAGATCTAAGAGCGGTGAGCGTCGGGTGGATGGGGGTTATGGGGTTACCTTCATGTAGAGCATGAACTCGCGGCAGTGGGCGGCTACGGCTTCGGCGCGGGGACCCTGCGAGTTTCCGAGCTCCTCCATGACCGCGCCCGACAGCTCCACCACCCGCACTATCCGCTGCACAAGAACAAACGAGCACGACGCCACATCAAGATTCAGTGACCAAATCGATCAGACCAGAGGGCCGAAAGAGGTGAGCTGGATGTGGGCCACCTGCTCAACGTTGTGGAGGCGCTCCAGCGAGCTGCTCTGACCCTGCGGGATCATCGCCGCCGGCGAGGAAGAGAGGTAGGCGAGGGCGGCGTTCGGGAGCGTCGTGCGGCCTTGAGAAGCTGTTTTTTTGGGGATGCGGCCTTGAGTTTTTTTTCTGAGGGATGCGGCTTTGAATGTTAAATGTGACGTGCTGGTGGGTTTAGGAGATCTCCAATGATTGTAAGATAGTTATTGGTAGAATTTGTCGCATAGGATTTTTTATGATGTGTCATACAATAAATGAAGAAAGAGGAGAAGGTTATATGTAGTACATGAACCAACACCCCTTGCACAAGCTCCAATGTAGAATGAGGGAGCATCTTATTTATTATCTCACATCCTATTGCGCAAACTAGATACAATCTATTGGAGTTGTTATATGTTAAGGTGTTGGTTGATGACATGACATATTTACCAACAAACTAACATACAAAACTGTTGAAGATGCTCTTAGTCGGCTATAAGATGTTCCACACCAGCAAAATCTTATATATATCTATACCAATATAAAAAGACCCAAAGAGGCAGATCCAAAGCATCTCGGCCGTCAAATCATGTTATCTAACTGTTCAAATTGCTTCAATGTTGAGCATCAAACATGTTTAACGCTCTAACTACCCACCACTGTCATTGGTTATAAACACGTTTTGACTTCACGCTATCCCATGAAATCTGTCATGTAATTAATATCGTATCATTTCTGCGGAAAAAGTAATTGATATCTTACCAAATACTAACGTGCAACGGATATATTTTACGATCTTACCTAATATAACGTGCAACTAATAACCTACCTAATATAAACGTGTATTAGAAAGAAGAAAGCCGGTGCTTCATCCATCACCGGGCGATAACACAAGTTAGAATGAAATTAACCGTGCATGCAGCTAGCCATGAAATTAACCGTGCATGCAGCTAGCCAATCATTGTTTTGTTCCTTGCATTTCTCTCCATGCAAGCATTCTAAATATATTAAACCTGATCAGGTTTAGTTTACCAGATATTTTTGACTTTTTCTTATCAGTTAAAATCAGCCCAATGGATGGGTGACACGTGCTTTAGTGGGGGATTTTGATCTGGTATACAATTGATCCGGTGGTTCGTACGTACCCAGTCGCTGGGCTTAATCCGGGTGTCTGCTGGTGTGAGCAGCAGCAAAGCGAGCATATCCGCGTTAGGTTAGGCATCGGCAGCCAGCCAGCCAGCCAGCCAGCATGCACTAATCAGTCGGGGGTGAGACTTTTCTCCGTCCATGTCTCCGCTGCATGCGTGCGTCTGAATCCGAACGCGCCGGTGCAATTATGGATCAGGGATTGGTACCGGTGGCTAATCTAATCGCCAACGCCAACGAACCAAGTGGAGCGAGCTGCATGAGTAGTAGCACAATTGGGCAGAGGGGTCGTAGGTGGATTACTAGTGCATGCTGCATGATGGCGTGTGTGTGTGTGGGTGATTGGTTTTGGTTGGGTTGGGTTGGGTGGGTATTAGGCCAAGGCCAGGCCACCACATCGGCTGGAAAACATAATAAATTGAGGACTCAGTTCCCCATTGGTTGCATGTCCCGGTCATGGAGAGATGGAGTTGGCCACGATTTCCATTCTCCGTTTTGGCTGGTTCTGCATGCCTGCTTGCTTCTTCCTTCCAACTCCCGCTTTCTTTCCGCCACGTGCGCCGTGTTGGAGTCGGCTGCCGCCCGCGCCTTCTGGTTTTTTCATACTGTCGGCTGCCGCTTTCGTACAACCTTCTGGGTGTTTCTGCAGCATGTGTGGTAGTTGTCTTCAATTTGTGCTCTGTCTCTTTGCTGCTTGCTATAAATACCGGCTGTGCATGGCTGCATGCTTGTGTCCGCCCACTCCTTCATCACCAAAAGGCTTTCCTGCAGCCAGCGTCGCCTCTGTGGCACGGTCCATGGTGCTTACCGGAGGCTACGCGTCCGCTGGCCTCCTCCCCTTCAACTCGGCGCTCGGCTTCACGGGTTGCCGCCGCCGCCGCCGTGCCCTGGTCGTCGGCGACTCGCTGCCTGCCTCCTTATCCTCGTCGACCTTTTTTGCGCAGCTGGCCGCAGGCCTGGTGGGGATCGGCCGTAGCTTCAGCTACGTCATCGCCCTGAGCCCGTCGAACCGGTCAGCCGCGGCCGACGGTGACTACGTCGAAGATGACGGCGATCGGCTGCAGGCTACGCGGGAACCGTGTCTCCCAGCATCTGCGGATCTCCTTGGCGGGGCCACGGTCTCCGTTCGGACGTAGTAGGAATTAGGACGCCCTGTTCGGGGAACACGGATGCGGCGGCGGCAACCTCAGCGACGACGACAACTAGCACGATCACTGGCCAATGCGAGCGACGCGATGGCGGCGAGGACGGATGCTCCTGCTGCACGTGCGCGTAGTGGCGCCTCAAAGGGATTAGGCTGCAGTTCCGGGGCCGAAGGGAGGCGGTGCGGCATGATGGTATCGATAGTGGCCACGCCGGGCAAGCGGGAGTGGAGCCGCACCCAGTAATCTTCGGCTTCATCCACAGCAACCTGCACAACCTCTTTGCCGTCGAGCTTCCTTCACCTCTAGATGGCACTGCGCCGCGCCCCCCTTTCCTTCTCTTCATCTCTCCTTTCCTCTCCTACTCCTACTTGGAAGGGGGGAGTCCTACTCCTGGTGGGAATAGGACTCCTCATGGGGCGCGCCATAGGAGGCCGCCCCTCCCCCTCCTCCACTTATTTATATACGGGGAGGGGTGTCGGTGTCAAAACCGGCGGATCTCGGGTAGGGGGTCCCGAACTGTGCGTTTAAGGTCGATGATAACAGGAGACATGGGACGCAATGTTTTACCCAGGTTCGGGCCCTTTCTATGGAGGTAATACCCTACGTCCTGCTTGATTGATCTTGATGAATATGAGTATTACAAGAGTTGATCTACCACGAGATCGTAATGGCTAAACCCTAGAGGCATAGCTTGTATGGTTATGATAATGTCTCTCCTCCGGACTAAGTCTTCCGGTTTATATAGACACCGGGAGGATCTTGGGTTACACAAGGTCGTTTACAAAGAAAGGAATCTACATATTCCGTCGCCAAGGAGAGTCCTATCCAGACACGGGTGCAGTCTTCGGTCTTCATATCTTCACAGCCCATCAGTCCGGCCCATGGCTAACAGGCCGGACGCCCGAGGACCCCTTAGTCCAGGACTCCCTCAGAAATCCCAGCCCGCGGACGAAATATGTGAGAAACACAACTCTCTCATGGGCTCTGGGGTAGGGACGATCTGTCCCTTGGCCGGGAGACGGTGAACGATCTCCTTGGCCAGATATCCAGCCTCTCGGAGCTCCTTGATGTCTTTCTTCTTAACAGAGGAGGCCATTCACTTGCCTCCATCTCCGGATCCGGACATGGTTGGAGTTATTTCTCCGACGGGAGAAGCTAGAGCTTGGGCGTTGGAACAGAGGAAGGAGAAGGTGTGGGTGAATGAGGATGAATCCTTATCCCCTTATAAAGGCCGCGAATGTCAAACGTCTTCCTATTCACCTTAAAACTTGCCTATTCCCAAGGGCTGTGTAAATGGCATGGTTGGGTTACCCACGTCTGTATTGATAAGAATCCCGTAATAAGGGGACACGACCTCTGCTTTGACAAGACGTGCCAATGGCAACCGTGTCTCGAAACGTGGAGCGGTAGACGAAAAACAGTTCGAAATTATGACCGAACAGATGTGATGTCATGTTACAAAAAGTTGTCAGCAGATTGGACTCATGTAAAATTATATTCTCTCTGCGGTTGTGTGTGGTGTGTGTTACAAGTCCAGACATGTTCAATACATCCGAAGACTATTTTGGAGTTCGGAAGGAGGAACCCGCCTTGCAATGCCGAAGACAGATCTACGTGTCGGATACGTTGTCATTGAAGCCAGGTTCAGAGGCTATGTTCTATATAAGTGCAGGTCGCTTATCGACAACAGCATGCCTTACCTGGGGGCCAACAGGTTCTGCGTCGCTCAATTGATCAACATCTACAACGGAGTCCCGGGCAGAGGAGCGAGCATGAGCTGATCGACATGTATCATCACAGGTGTGGAGTTGCTGAACGAAGCTCTGTATGGTCAAGCACAAGTGTTGGCCTGTATAGGGATTACAATATTCGATCGTTGTGGCACTTACTATGTGTTACGTCTTCTGTTTACTTTCAAGTTCAACTCTCAAGTTGTTAATTTTCATAGAATTGAGCTTCGGTTTCAAATCAACATTATCTGAATCTTCCTCACCATGGATTCAGCATGCGGGCATCTGAATTTTATGCTGTGCAATTCACTCACCATTGTTTTTATGGTTAATTTTTTTATCACTTGATCCACTTCTACCTTTTAACATGTTGAGTTGGCCTCTTTGATTGTTAGTTGCCAACTTCATTGCTGACGTAAGTTATTTGTACCTCCTTTTCAGTTGAACAATTGTTATTGTTTGTCGTTACTCTGAACATTTTCCTGCTCTATATGTTTAATCAAAGTTTCTAGAGAAACAAAGTTTAGTGATATCTGTTATGTGATGGTAGCTGGTGTTATGTTTTTGTCACCATATGATTATGCTTTTGGAGACTTAGAGAATCTTTTGGGAATTTGCCTGAAGAAACAGTTTGGTTGTTTCATTTATTGGGCATTTCTTGAAAAACAGTTGCATTGTAGGGATCCCAAGTCCCAACTGAGATGATGTATAATGTTGCTCTTGATATTTGGCACATGCATCCATCAGAGGTAGGTTGCTCCAATGACGAGCACATGGTGCGTCCGTACGACGAATGATCTTTGGAGATCAATGAGCGATCGGATATTCTGAAAAAAAAGATTTTGACATATCATTACTGTTTGTGACGTAAAGATACCAAATCTTTAAGAAATACCAGTGTTACAGGCTAATAATAAGGGCAATGAAACATTAGCGTGAACATCTACAGATTCTGAAACTGTCTTTTGTTATCATGCTTTGCAGATAGTGCAGATTTTCAGAGATCGTTGAAATACACAACTTGATGAT